ATGGAATAAGTAATCCACCAAACTCACCTTTTGGCCGCCTGCCTTCATCTTTTCATTCTCCATTTTGAGTTGCTTTTCTATCTCCTCCATTTCTGGGGAGAGTTAGTTCAAGTCCACCATGTTCACTTCGAATTTTGGATCCTCAGCAAGTTTCATTCCTTCGAACTTGGCCCTAAGACCATCAATAGTCCTGGTCTTTATTACATTCTTCATTGCGCCATCAGTAGCGCTTGTTCCCTTTTCCGCCACGAGATCTTCAGCAAATCCTGGCTCTGAGGCTTTGTCAGACCCCAGGTTTTGTTCTGGTTGCAACCCTTCGACTTCAGCAATGTCCACCATGTTGATGGCAGCAGGCTTAGCATAATTGGTCTCGGCAACCTGCATAGGGTCAGCATCAATCCTCATTTGAGGTTTGGGCTTTTCCCTAAACTTCAACCTTCAATCCTGAATTGCTTTTTGTATCAGATCCCTGAAAAGAAAGCATTGTGAGGTTTTGTGGCCTAGGAAATTATGATACTTACAGAAACCCCTTTTCTTCCGTTGCTCTAATGGAGGAATTTTAGCACCAGGGGGCACTATCATCTGGCCATCTTTAACTAGTAAGTTGAAAATTTCATCACACTTGGTGATGCCGAACGTATAAGATTTTCTTGGAAATTTGTCGCTCCTTTCTGGTTCGACAAGATTTTTCCCATTCGCAGGAGTCAACATTTTTCAAGGACACGGTGGTCCTTGCTTCAACTCTGCAAGATCTATCTCGTGCTCTTCGACTTCTGAGAAATCCTCTCCGACTTCTCTTTCGTCTGAGCAGGCTTCGATATAAGCCACTCTTTCTTTTCTATGACTTTGTTTCACCCTAGCCTTTTCGACCTTCAAACGCTCAACTTATCGAACCCTATCATCCAATTGCGCCATATCCCTCAAATAATGGGGATCTAACTTTTTCCTGATAGAAAAGTCCAAACCTCTTGCTGCCATTTCGACCAGCTCGTGTTCTGGCATTTGCGTGAAGCATCTTGCTTTCAACAAACGGAATCTGTTGAGGTAATCATCTATGGGCTCACTAAATTTTCGCTTGACATTTTCCAATTCGCTTAGACTAATCTTGGTTTGTCCTACATAAAATTGTTCATGAAACAACCTCTCCAAACGAGTCCAATCATGGATGGAATTCGCCGCGAGGGTGGTGAACCAAGTAAAAGAATTTTTTGTCAGCGAAGAAAGGAAGTATTTAACCCTTAGATTTTCATTATTTGCTATATCTCCCGCCTCTGTAAGGTATCTGGCGATATGTTCTATGGTAGATTCGCTAGTGTCGCCAGAAAACTTGGTGAACTTGGGTACTTTCCATCCCCTTGGCAATTCAGTTTGTTGAATATATTCTGACAAAGGGGATGTATAATTCGGTCTACACATACCTAAGTTTACCCCATTTCGTACCATAATCCTTTCGACTAAGGCTGCTAGGTTATTGTTTCCAACCATATCATTCTGTCGACAACCTTGAAGGATTTCATCGGCATCTTGGTTTTGATTCACCAAAACTACCCTTCTCGCTAGTTCCTCCCTAGGGATAGCCTGTTGGGGTCTGGGTGGTTCCTCCCTTCGAATTGGTTGTTGGACTTCGACTTCAGGGTGAATCAAAGGTTGGACCTGGTTTATGGTTGGCTCCTCTTGGAATATGATGCCTTGATTCTCCCTTACCCATGTGGGCTGTAGGGGTGGCTGTCGAACTGCTTCTCTGGGCGCACCAAAGAAATCTGCAAGACGCCCTATTTGCACTGCCATTTGTTAGTTTGCTTGGGCATTTTGCAAGTTAGTTTGTGTAGGCTTTGAATTAAAGGGTTGAAAATAGTACCCATCTGTTGGGCTAATACGCCCAACATCTCGTGGTTGCTATCATCCATTTGTTGTCTTATGACTGCTTGTGTATTTGTGGTGATAGTAGGTATTTGAGTTGGCTGCGAATTGTTTCTAGTCATATGGTTTATCCCAGACCCTGATCCTTGCAGTGGTGACAAATTAGATGTTACGAGACAGGTGTATGTCGATGTATTATTTTGAAATCCCGTCATGAACAAAGTTGGCATGCCATATATAGGATCTGATGTTGAGATTGTAAATCCTGGTGGAAAAGTTCCAGACATCCCTATCGAAGGCCTGGGTGTTAATGGTGGATTTTGATTGGCCATAGACACAATGGTATGTTCGTTATGGAGGTTTGACGAAATAGTTTAAGCGTTTGTATTTTGGGGTATAACTGTAACGCTTGCTGTCGAAGGGATCGTTGCAGTCCCTTGACTCGCCATCATCACTTCATTTGTATTCGAGGCGCTAGTATTTCCTCTCACATGAGGGTGAACTTGTTGTGCATCATTAGTGGGTGGGTTAGTCATTCCCCTAATGTGTTGCCCTTTTGGTATAGGATTTGTATTGTTGGCTAGTTTTCCACTACTCAATCTCATGCAATAAACAAGTTAAAAGCAAGATAGATAAAGACACGGGTCCCACCGGGTGTGCCAATTTGTTTACCCTCAAATTTTGGTAAACAACCGTTGATCTTCTAAATCCTTTCACAGATCCAGTTACTTGCGAGATCGATCAGATTGATCTCAGGACACGAGTATCTTTATTAATCCTTTAACTTGATTATTGTGTTTTAACATGTTTTGTATATGAAGACAAATGGCTTCAAATGTCGAATTAAAATGCATGTAAAGTAAAAGTAAAATTACTTCTAAACTTGAAATGGTAAAAGACTTAAGTAAAGGTTATTGGAAATTCTGCAAAAGTAAATGCACTTATATTAAATGGGTGTATCATACGTACATCCTCAATAAACTCGTTTCTCTTTGACACTTGGTACTTTGAGTAATTTTTGAGTAATTTGTACAAAGATGTTCACACACACTAATCGAAATACTAAGGCTACTATTTATACTACTTCGACCCTAACGGTCTTCTACACGAATTAATGCCACGTTTCTGTTTGCATGTCTTCGACGAACTCAGAGCCTTCCACGCGTCCTTTCGGATAAAATCAAAATATTTGAATTTGAATCTCCTTCTTATCTTGAACGCCAATCTCTGAAGACGATCAAAAAATGTTTGAAACCTTAGCCATATTTCGAATAACAATCTTTATTCAATAATTCGAATTGGTAAACCTTTCCAACGAATTTTACTCAATCCGAATCTCAACCTTTATGCCTTCACATAATAAAGTAGTGGAATATTCTGAAGTATATTCGAGTTTAACTTAAAAACCCTTAGTCGAAATTTCCAGCTAACACCGTGTCACACGACACGACCCGTGTCAAACTAACTGCACCATAGATGTGAGAAAACAAAGTCACAGACGCTTACACGGGTGTCCGTGTCGCATGACACGACCCATGTCAAATCATCTGCATGGACGCGTGACTTGAAGCAAGGGACAGAAGCTGACACGGGTGCCCGTGTCTGGTGACACGGCCCGTGTCGGCCAATACGCTAGAAATTCTGATTTTTGGAGTTTTAAGTGTCTTGGATCATTAAGGGTACTTTGGACATTTTTGCATTGCTGAGGGATGACCTAATATTATTAAAACCTGTTTTTGAGAAGAGGAAGATGACTTTTTGGCAGCGAAGAATAGTTCACACGATTGAAGATTGGGGAGATCAAGGTTCTTGGAGAGCGGAAGATTCTCATGAGCGGAAGCAATTGAAGATCGAAGTTATCCAATTACTTGTAATGTCTAACTTTTATCTTGTGATTATTTGAATAATATGAGTAGCTAAACCCCCCAATATTAGGGGGTGTCCCTGATTTGACTTAGTAAACGATTTTGATTCCTGAATTTCTTTAATATAATAATCTTCTATATCCAATTTAGTTGTATAGTGTTTTTATGCTTTTCTTATCAGACAAATTAGGTCATCCTTAAATGTAGTAAAATAAGAAAGGTCATCCTTAAATGTAGAACTTGAATATTCAACTTTTCTTATATAAATAGAACATCATGTTTCATTCTAAAAATCAATCAAAAACAATTTCACATTATATAAATTTCTAAATCTATTACCGTCAATGCGCTTTTCACAACCACCAACACAAAGGTCCATAGTACATTACATGGCTGCATCTCCTTATGTTGTTGGCGAACCGGCACCACTCGTGACAATACAACAACTCGAGGCATTATTGTTTACTACGGTTACAAAAAATCAAAAGTTTTGCAACTTAAGCCTTTGGTGCCAGTATTGCTACTCCACAACAATACACTAATAGCTCATGTATATCAAAATTAACATGGCTTTACAACATTGTCCTAAAAATGCAAAATGTACAGGTCCACTTGGACAAAAAATTTCTGCTAGCATGAACAATGAGTCCTTTTTGCTTCCTGTTGGAAAAGGGTTTTCTATAATGGAAGCATATTTTTAAAATGTGACTGGTTTGTACACTACACATTTCCCTAATAACCCTCCAAAAACTTTTGACTTCACAGACCCAAAAATAATTTTAGATGCTAATGTTACATTTGCGCCAAAATCGACCAAGGTGAAGAAATTCAAGTTCAACTCGACGGTTAGTTAAACGTTTTAATTAAAATTTCGAAAATAAGTAAGACTTTTTTTTAGTATAGTGCCAAGAGCTGATGACACATGGTGACCAGTTAGTTAACAGATTATTGGCAGATTCTTGAAAGTTTCTTGAGGTACAAATCTAAGAAGAATTTAATATTGTAGTCTAAATATTTTCAAATACATTTGTTGACAACTTTGACAGGAAAAGGTTATGAGGAGTGAGGACATTTGCAGCCAACTAAATATATGAATAATAATGAAGATTGTTATGTCCTCCTATTTCATATACTCTGATCATACTACATAATCTTATTCTAACAAAATAACTCATCCATCATCTTCGGAATCTCTGTCACTTAGTTCGTCCTCATCATCAGAATCAATGTCTCTTAGTTCATCCTCTTCGTTTGTTAGAAATAGGACAGGCTTTCCTACCTTTCATGTATAGAGTGAGTGTTTGGAGTCGAAGATGCATATCTATCATTCAAAAAGTATACATTAGATCCATGATAATGGCTAAAAGTGCAGCCATATCCATATGATTAAACAGTAGAAGAGAACTTACATCCAACGAGTTGAGATCAAGCTTTCAACATAATTAATGGTAGAAAACCAACACAATTTGTTAGAAATTCTAATTCTCTCTACTCCATTATCTCTCTGATTATAGATAATTGCTCGGTCATCTTTATAATTTGCCAATATGAATGTATCTCCATTCTTAGAAAGGTGCAATGGCAACAATGGAGTACCAAATTCACTGCCTTTGTAGAAATTCAAGTCATGATAGATTTTCAAGTACTCAATTCTAAACAGTTGAGTCCAAGACTCTTGTACTCCAAAATCCTTCATTTTCCATATAACAGATTCGGTTCCCTTGAAATCATGCGAAAAGCAAAGACAGTCCATAAGAACATGAAGTGCTGGCTGAAAACGTGGCACCTCGCCAAAACCACGAGGTAGCAAAATCCATGTGTATGTCTCCGTCGAAAGATCAAGTGAAACAATCACAAATTGCTGAGCATTAGCAATAGACTTCCAACCATATTCATAAGCCGGTTGAATGTAATTGGGAAGAGCCAACCAGTTAACAGTACCATTGAAATGCACACCATTATTAATTCGATTAATATGAATATTCATTAGGATAACCGGAATCATAGGGCAACTTCGAATTTTTCTCCAACAATTATCACCAAAAGTACTTGACCTTTCCAATCAAGTTTGTTCTCTTCACCTCGTCCTTCAAGAACCTTTCTAAGGGCCACGACCTTGTAAGTTCCTGATGAAATATCACAACCAAAAGTGAACTTGTAAGTGCTTGGTTGAGTGTTACAGTCTTTAAAAGTCCCCAATTTTTTAGATATTTCCCTCGTGGCTGGGTTCCATAAACAAAACCAGTACTTCATATACTCGTTGTTCATTGTCCTAAAGCGAAAATGGAAAAGCAGGCAGAGCAATCTGTTGCAAGAACCAATGATCTGACAGCTGCCAATGGAACTGTGGAAATTGTCACTGAAGAAAGTGATTGACGGATTCTCTAGTAAACGAGACACGGGAAAGGATTTGACTCTACTCACAGGATATTTTGCAGGGTATTTTCGAATTGGTGTGGGTTGGATTGAATTCGCTCCTTAACGGGAAGAATATTCATTGAATATATAAATTGAAGTTGAAAACCGAATTCTAATACAAGCCAAAATAGAATGCAAATCAATTGTTTTTTCTAATGTGACGTTACTCCCTAGTCCCTCCTGTTACATAATAGGAAGAATATTCATCACAGCTATATTTATTTACCATGTCATCTGACTCTGAGCCACCTTAATTGCTTTGAATTAGTTAGTCAATAGTTTGAAATTGCATATGTATCAGTATCCTTTAAAATAGATAATACAGAACCAATTTTTTTTCAGGGCACCAATTGCTAAGCAGGCACATAAAAAAGGGTAACCCAACTCTGGGGGATCGAATGTATGACTCCAGAGTCGCAATAGAACAATCTTACCGTTGAACTCATTTAAGTCACAATAGAACAATCTAACCGCTAAACATGCCTATACAAAGATGAAATATAAAAGAATGTATTGTTTCACCATTTAAGTTGAAATTGCCTAGAATACACATAAAGAGTAACAAAAAAAATTTGACTCATAAATTTCAAATGAGATGCCACAAATAATCTAATGAATAAATATAAGTGAATCATGAAATTCAGTTTCTATGCTCTTTAAAATAGTCGTCGTATCAGTTTCTTTTCAATATTTGACTTATTCATTTCATAAACTTAATATTAAATCCAATTATTATTATAAACAATATTTTATTTCTTTTAATTTTATTGAAGAATTGATGTTAGGGGTGTTAGATGGGTGCAGATGGACTCGCGAATTCGCAAATCTAAATCAAACCAATCAACTAATCATTTCAAACTGTTTTTGTTGTTCTTATTAGATAATAATAATATTCGCCAGGACGATAGGACGCTGCTCAGTGCTGGCTATAGAACTTTGGGGCATTCTTGAAGGCATCAAATTGTTTAACAATAATAGTAATAGTGGAAGGAAGCTTCACATACAAACGGATTCGACCCAGCCGTGGAATGAAATTATGAAGGCTTGACAAGGGAAGTTATCTGGTTTATCTCTGGTTCGTCAAATTCTAATTGAACTGAAGAGCACAGGTGAATTAAGATGCACCATTATATGTAGAGAATCAAATCGTCGTGCGGATGCTCTATAGCCAAAATAGGCTTTAGAAGAAACAAACGACAACCTTTGTATGAGAAAGACATGAAAGAGAAATTGTTGTAATTCTGGGCGTGGCCCTCTTTATCCACGAAAAAACAAAATTAGTATATGGCTATTTTGTCACAAATATTCATTTACCATTGTTCAAGCCCAGGATAAAAGTCCCAACAACAAGCATTGTACGGAAAGACGCGCAGAACGGGTGAGACTTCACTCCAGTGAAGACACGTGATTTTGGCCTCTAACATATTTTTCACTGTTGAATCTAATTGGACAGAAACTTGAACGAAGCGTTAGATCTCTGAGAGACAGCTTTTACCGCTCACACTATATAAAGCATAACACACTTCAAATATTCTTTCATACGGACACCCAAACACTTCTTTTTCACTCATTCATTTATTTGAACGTTGAAATGTTAATCATGCAGACACCGCCTTTTTGATCCATTGTACCGGAGATTAATGGCATCAATTCAAGATACGATCGCAATCTTCGGACCAAAAAGTTATTAGTACATCTCAGAATCACTTATAAAATTTCATTCTACAAGAGCTTTCGCAATTTCCTCTATTTCTAGTTCCAGCAGCACAGAACATCGACTAATCATATTCTAATCCATTTTGTTGACAACTTTGACATTAAGAGCTTAGTAGGATAGATATATACAGCCATTCATTCTTCAATTACAAATCAATCATTGTAGCTCATGTCTATTTGTTTGAAACTAATGTCTTATCTTATACAGTTTCATGACTTATACAGGTTCAAGTAAACCAATTTAAACTTTGGGCCAATTTGGATGGATCTATTTGAACTTATATCTACCGACATAGATTTTGTGACCCTATTTGAGAGACTTAATCAAAAGATCTCATGACCTTTTTTATTAATTTGTTGAACTTATTTTTATAAATTATTCAATATAGCTAACAAAAACAGCTAATAACATATATAAAAACAATTTACATTTATTTTATTATTTAGTATTTATTATAAAAATAGCTTATATAAATATTTATAAACACTTATTTTAGTAAACACTTGTAGTATAAACGGCAGATAAATTGTTTATCCAAACATGCCATAATCTTTAATGACTCAAATTTCAAACATACACATATTTTGCTAGGCTAATGAAAAAAATAAACAGCTTAAAATTACATATATTATCTAATAAGAACAACAAAAACAGCAATCATCCTCTCATCTATATGAGATTACTCATTCTATTCCAGAGAAACCTTCCCATGAATTTCCAATAATTATAACTATAATTATTATAATAAAAATACAAAAACAGATAATAAACCATTGTAACTACCCCAACCAAAAAGAATGCTGTAAAATTCATAACCTTTTCCATCTTGAATTTCTTCAGCAGAAGAGAAGCAACAAAACACACCACAGATGCAACCATCATGACGATTCTCACACAATATTCTTTCCCAATTCGAACCGTGTGCTGCAACCGCATTGGAAGTGAAAGATTTGATGATGTTTTAGTCTTAACAGCAATGTTGGGTTTGATCCGGGGTCGAAATTTGCGGAAAAAGTTGTTGAATTTGGAAGTGATGAAACTAGGTCGCGGTTGTTTTTGAGGGCGTGAAGAGATAGTGAAAAGGAAATGAGGAAGGTTGAGGAGAATGGAAAAGCGGAAGAAGGAGAGGGTGTGTGTGGAAGAGTGAGTGGCAGCTTTGAATCGGAATCTGAAATTGAAATGTTTGGCTTTCGCAGTAACTCGGATTCGCCATGATTGGTGTCCTCTCTCCGTCTCTCCTTCCATTCCATTCGAGAACCAAAGTAACCGTTGGAGTGAGCCTTTTTACTTCACAATACTTTCTTTTTTTAATGAGAATATTAGAAAAATTAAATATGTTTTTAATCCTTCTAAAAATAATTAGGGTAAATTTCTCTAAAAAATTTCTTCAAATAATAATTTATTTAAAATTTTTAATCAGGTTATTGGTCTTTAATGTTAAATGACACTAACGGAATATTGACAAAAATCTGAAAATGCCTTAAATGGAGAGATTACAAATCTACTCTAAACAAATTCAAAAAATTCAATCAAACCCAAAAATCTTATTCCTCCACGTCATTTATGTGGCATGAAGAACAATGCCCCGGATCATTGCTTTCTGAATTTGTCTATGCCACTCTTCCTTTACAGCCATATATGCTTTTTGTTCCTATGAATGTATGCCACAAAATTTTATAGAAAATAAGTCAATCATGAAAGCAATTATTCGGCCCATTCCGGCTGATTATTTAAACACGAACCCATGTTTTCTATGTTAATTGTAGTTTTAAGAAAACAGATGTTCTTGATCTTGGATTAGTGTTTCAAAGTATATCAGGCTCTATCAGTTCATTGTTTCTTACAACACAAATTTCATTGTCTGACATTATTACTGAAATTCCAATGCAGTTTAATGTGTTAACCAGCAGTTTCTTTTATGATTTAGAATTTTTGACATGGCATTTTAGTTTACAAAATGATGAGAATGATTTACTTCATGTGAGTAGCTTTATTGTTATGCATAAGAAAATTGTCAATACTTGTTAGTGTTTGCTTTAGATATCTTGTCAAAGTCAGTGCAATAGAACGAAACACATGGTGCATTGGATGATAAGATTCCAACTTCACTTCCTAACTAGAATGAAACATAAAGATAATAAAACGTTGATCAACTACCACGCCCACTGCCCAATAATGAATGAATGACAAATAAAAAACGTTGATCAACTACCACGCCCACTGCCCAATAATGAATGAATGACAAATAAAAAACGTTCACTTATCTTCACCTGTTTCTAATGTCAATCTTTCTATAGTTATTTAGCATTTCCATTTTCCAACCTCTTTTTATTCACACCATATCTTTGTCTTACAACAAAAATTCATAATCTTACAACATCTTTAACATTTTCAAAAGTCTACTTTTGCAATAGAGACCCATATCTTTCTTACGTATGACTGTAAAGGAAGAATGGCAGAGACAAATTCAGAAAACAATGATGTGGAGTATTGTTCTTCATGTGATGGAAATGATGTGAAGCAATGGGATTTTTAAGTTTTGTTGAATGTTCTGGGTTTATTTAGAGGAGGTTTGTAACCCCCTCAACTTAAGGAATTTTCAGATTTTAGAAAAAATAATTAATATTTTAATTCATTCATCCCACGTCATCTTCTGTCAATGTCATTTATCGTGTGAATAGAAAATTTTAGAAAGATTTAAAAAAAAACTTTAGAGAGATTAAAAATAAAAATCCAAATGATTATAAGAAATATTCTTAAATTTTATTTTTTTACATTGATATTTATTGTTACAAAATTAATTGTACTTTTTTTATCTGCTCTGAATAACAAGGGTTTATTTTCCTGAAAATCATGAAAATAAGAGGACGAAAGTAAAAGAAAAAATTAGTTCTACTGGACTAAAAACATAGTTTTTCTTTTTTAAAATAAAAATTTTCAACCTCTCAATTGTAATCTTGATTAAATTCTAAATTTTTGTGATATTTAGTTGGAAAAGTGATAATAATTATCCAAATTTAAATTAGACTAAAAAACTATAGTACAAATTTAAGGAATTAAATGTAAAATATTCATTTAAAAAGTCGTGCATTTAATTTTTAAAAGTTAAAATGTCACGTTATTTAATAAATGTTAAGAAAATAGTGTAATTCAAGTTAGTGTAATTAATTACAACGTGGGTTTAACAAGTTACATCTTTTACAGTTTATGGAAGTATATTTTTCTCATTAGTTGGTTAGTTATATTATTTTATAGGATGGTTTAAATAGTCAAATTCTCTGTAATTCTCTTATTCTCTCCATCTCTTCATTATTCATCATTGTTTTTGTGATTGAGTATTTATCTAATATTTGGCATCAAGAGTCTGGTTTTTTGATCAAACACTCAATGTATGAAAATACTTTCCATCTCCAATGAACGTATCCCTGCAAATCTCCCATTTTTTTATGAAAAGAATTATGATAAGGGGTATAAACAAATGAAGGTGTTGTTTGGTTATCAAGATGTTCTTGAAGTGATCAAGAACGATGTTAACCCATTTGTAAAAGGTGCAACGATTGCACAAAGAACTACGCACAAGGAGAATAAGACAAAAGATTTTTAAGGCTTGTATCTCATTTATCAATGTGTTGATGCTGATAATTTTGAGAAAGTTGGTGATTGCACATCCTCAAAGGAAGCTTGGGAAATCTTGGAGAAAATTATGCAGGAGGTGATAAGACAAAGGTGGTCAAGTTACAAACTCATAAGAGGCAACTGGAGTTAATTCAAGTAAATTACAAGGAAACCATTAGTGAATTTAGTACAAGAATCACAAGATTGGTGAATTAAGAAAAAACTTGTGGAGAGACAATCATCGAGTAATATGTGGTTGGTAAAATTTTGAGGTCGTTGACGTCAAAATTTAATAATATAGTGGTTTCCATTGAAGAGTCCAAAGATCTTTCAACCATGAGCTAATAAGAGTTGCAAAGTTCTCTTGAGGTTCATGAGAAGAGAATGAAGGAGAGGAATATTGTCAAAGCTAAGGCTAAAGTTACTTTGTAAGCTTGTTTCGTTGGAAAGAACACGAAAGTGAAGGGAAAGTGGCCCATGAGTAGAGGTAGAGAAAACTACCATAACAATGGTGGGAGAGATTTCCTAAATTCCAAAAATTCAACATTCTAAAAGGGTGAAAGCAAAGACAACAAAGGTGGTGGATCAAGAAATTACAAATGTGGCAACAATAGATGAAGATCAGAAAGATGGAGAAATGACAATAGCAACATCTAATGTTATAATTGTCAAAATCTCGGACATTTTGCTCGCAAACGTCATACCAACACGAATGATCCACAAGAAGTTGAAGTAAAGTTTGCAAGGCAAGAATATGATGAGAGCACAATATAAATGGTGATTGTTGAAGCAGAAGATAGTGCATGAAAATTGATCTAACCTGATCAGACTTGGACCGTCACGGCTGGCTCCGAGCTGAAGTTTTTGAACGAGGTGGGGGGGGTACCTGCAAGACACTCCGATGCTGAAGTAAGTAAGAGCACGAGCAGGCAATAGTAAGAGTATGGGTAGAATGATGAATACCTGACCCTCTGGAAACAGAGGGTATTTATAGCCCCCAACGCTGGGCCAAGGTCCCTTCATTGGGTACGTGTGTAATGGAGACTCGCACGTGGTCTTCTTCCTGGATGTGCTGCGTGAAGTGCGGGCGGACGAGGACGCGGTCTTTTCGGGACCCAGGTGAGGGTGCAGTGGACTGAGTCTGCCCTAGGAGGGGTGCTCGAGGTGAGGTCGAGCTGGACAGTAGGAGGTCGAGCAAGTAGCCCCAGGGAGTACGTCGGGCACGATTGTGATCCTTTGGTCGGCGTGACCCCCAGCAAGTTCGTTTGGATTGGGCCTTATCAATGCTATTGGGCCAGCCGGGCTCAGTCCAGAACAGGAGCCCCCCAAGTCGTGGTTCCTTGGGTTAGGAGCCATGGCTTGATCTTAGGTTGCTTCCGTTTCGGGGCCTCGTGCCCGGGCCAGAGACACAGCTCCTCGTGGGGGTAATCGAGGGTTTCCCCGTATCGTGCTCGGGGACAAGTCCCCCGCGAGGAATGCTCGGGGATTCCTCAACAGCATGCGTCTGTCGAGCACGCGAGGTATCTTTTGGGAACTGTGCCGCCACCCTATGAGGATAGGGTCATCATTGCCTAGGGGAGATGCGCGTCGAGGAGGGGAATCTGTGGCTGCCTGAGGTGACGTTTGGTATTCCACGTCATCACTATAAATAGGATCCTTGGGCCCCAGAACGTGTTACTACTCTTCGCGCTTCTCCTCTTCGCTCTGTTTCTGCTGCTGTTGTTCTTCCCAGATTCTCATAGCATCGCCGCGATCTCCGTCACCGATTTCTTTCCTCCTTTACCAAATCTACTCCTTGATTCCAAGTAAGTGACTTGTCTACTCTGTTTTTCTGTTGTGATGCATGATTTTCATCGTTTTAGACGTTTTTAGAGGCTGTGCGCGTGGGACTAGCCCGGTAAACTTATGTTCAGCCCGACAAATTCATGCATGAGGTCAGCAAACGCATGTTCATGGCCGGTAGATACATAGTTTAGGTTATAATCTGCAGTGCTGCCCGGGGTCTTCATGATCCAGGGCGCCTAATTCGTGATCGTGCCCGGTATGCTCATAGTTCTGGCTTTAGGCTTTATGATGTTGCTCGCCATGTTCATACCCCGGGTCGACGTATTCACGAGTGACCGCGTTGTCGGTTTATTTAGGCGGCTTTGCAGAAGGACCCATTGAGGTATCTGGAAGCCGGGGAGGCGACCGCTAATTTTGTTTCAAACCAACTCTGTGGTCGCGCATTGAGCGACGTGGTTTTGTCGCGCGCTTCATCTTGTCCGTTATGATGAGCGTATGGTTTCGTGCCCAATTGACTGGTTTCCCGTGCTCTGTAGGTAACCATGGCGGACGAACCGTGCTCTTCAGGACGTCCCGAAAGGGAAGAACAAAGTGCCGATAAGGCTGTGAGTTTGGTCAACACCGTAGAGGACCCTCTGTTGGACTGGGTGGGTGCCGAGCCTAGAGGAATCGCCTCGGTCTATAGTCGGCGCAGCCGAAGGCCATACGCTGTTCTTGAGGCGGGCCACGACCAGTCCGGTTTTCAAAAGAATTTCGTCGTTACTAGACTGACCTTCACTGCTCGGATTTGCTCGGTGTTCCCCGAGTACAGCTTCCCCATGTATGAAATTGCATTCAAAGACCTT